CTGCTTAGAGTGTTACAGTTGCCCTTTCCAGCTCATTTTCCACTTGGCTTTTCACTTTCTCCAGGGCAATCATGGCAATCCATGCCGTGATTCAGCCTAAACATGCCTAGTGCACCCTCCCCTATCTTCTGCACCAAGCCTACAGTCTTTTTTTTTTTAGCCTACAGTCTTTTTTTTTTTTTTAATTTTATTATTTTTGTGTGCTTGTACCGTCAAATCAGATCTGACTGGTACAGGAGGAGATTGTCCCTCCTTCCCCGGAAGAGCATCTGGTGGATTCGAACCATGCACCTCTGGGATCGTAGTTGCAGCTTCTTGCCACTAGGCCACCAGAGCTCCCCTAGCCTACAGTCTTTTTTTTTTTCAGCCTACAGTCTTAACATAGCTTTAGTGATCCTCTCAAATTGAGCCTCTGTCCACACCGACACAGTCTCACCCTTCCACCACCTTCCAGGAAAAGCCACAGCCGCAGATCTAAGTGTGGTGAGTGGGTGCTGTAGATGTTCCCTTGCACACGCTGTTCCCGCTGACTGGAATGCCAATTCCTTCTTACCCTCAGAAAAAACCCCAAACCCATTGTTGCAGAGTCGATTTCGACTCACTGTGACTCTGTAGGATAGGGTAGAAATGCTTCCTATGGTCCCCAGGTCTGTAACCTCTACAGAACATTCTGTAGACTGCCAGCAGTACAGGTATGTCCTGGGGCAGGTGAAACCAGCTGTTCCCTGGAGGCAAGGATTTGGAAGCTCCATCTCACATACTTTGGGCATGTGGCCTGGAGGGACCTGTCCTTGGAAAAGGACATCATGTTTGGAAGAGGGGAGGAACAGCACAGCAGAAGAAGACCCAGGATGAGTTGAATTGACACAATGACTAGGGTAATGAGGGCAGGTGTATTGGAGACAGTGAAACTGGCTCAGGATGGCAGGGTTCAGAACTATTGTTCATAGGGTCGCTATGAGTCGCAGGTGACTTGACAGCATATAACAACAAATAACAACATTGTCTACAGAAGGGTGCTCTGGTGACCTCGTCCATAGGGAGTTGCACTGCCAACCCAAAGGCATCTCTCTGGTGGTTCAAGTCCACCTGTGACTCAGGGAGAAACATGGACAATTTGTTCCACGTACAGCCTCAGCGAACTTGCTGGAAGGTTAGTTATGAGTAGATTCTGATTTAGTGGCAATGACAGTGAGAGATTACTCACTGCAGAAGCCTGTTACTGTGTTTTCTCCCACAGTGGGTTCTGTCAGCAGCCAAGCATCTAAACACTGCACCACCAGAACACTTCCTAGTACTCTGCAGTTATCACACTCGTCGAGTGTTCCAGACTTTCTCCTTCCCTTCCCCAATCCTTTCCATCCCTTTTTTCTTTGAATCTGTGATCTTACCTGTTTCATCATTGTTTCCCACCTAAAGGCAGGTTTTGGAACAGTTATCTTTGATATAGTGAGAATTTGGTCCATATTGGTGAGGTGGGCAGGTGGATGAATGAGCGATAGTGGTGGAGTGAATGGGTAGGAAGAAGATGATACAGAAACCCTTATGCATGTATCAGCACACCAATGATTTTGATTTAAATGTAGATTGTTTATAGGGCGACCTGGTGGCTTAGCGGTAAGGAATTGCACTGCCAACCGAAAGGCATGTGGCTTGAATCCATTGGCTACTCTCCTGGGAAAAGATGGGCAATCTCCTGTGTGAATGATTGCATCTGAAAACCTGCTGGAGCTCAGCTGTGTTGATTCTGACATAACAAGATTGTAAAGTTTCTAAGGACAGAGAAGAAAATCGAAAGTTGGAAACCAGGTGATGGTATGTGTGAGGTGCACTTGGCAGAGAGGTAATTTCTAAACTCATCTAGGATTTCCCCTACATGCTTGGCAACTCCAGAGAACTTCTCCATTTTTATTAAAATGTGAACTGATGGCTTTAGAAAATGAGGTGTTTCAAAACAGTTGCTGAGGCTATTAAGTCACTGGACATGGATGTGGTTGCAGTCTTCTTTCCCATCAATTAAATGGAGCCCCTCAGCTCTGGTGCCCTCCAGCACTAGCCACCGGGAGTCTCTGCTGTCCTTGTACCTATGCTTATCTAGCTCACTGGCGTTAGCATTCCAGTAATTGCATATTGAAACATTCATGTTGAAGAATTTACTTAATGGAATTTTCTCTCAACTGCAGTGAAAAAGGAAGCAATTAAAACAGTTTAAGTCCCTCTTTTTTGCACATTCCTAAAAAAACAGTAACTCATTAATGCTGTGTCTTCATGTTTGCTGTTGCAGGTGGTCATAAGAGCTGTCTTTACGATTTAATTCATGTCAGAGTTCTAGATAAAGACTTAATAGTAAATGCCCAACAAATATTAGGTATAATTATGTTTTCCACACTTATGTAGAACTCCTTACTTAATGTTTAAATGCCAGGCCCCTCTGTTGCTAAGGGATGCTCATTTTGCATGGGTCTTTATGAACTTTGTGAGCAAACCAATATAAAATAATAAAAAAAAAAAGACAACAGTTTTACCTTTCTGCAGGTTACATTTTGTGGGATAAAAAGGAATAGATGAGGAGAGAGACAGAGAGGGGGGAGGTCAGAGCTCTGCTCTCACCAGCAGTGGATGCAGGCACCTGTGAGCTGCCGTCCACTCGCCCCAGTTCCTGGACACCCCCGTGCACAACAGAAGGAAACCCTGCAGGATCCTCTGCCACCCTGTGATCGTTTGGGGATTGGATTGTTCTGATCCGTGGGGTTTTCATTAGCTGATTTTTGGAAGTAAATCACCAGTCCTCTCTTCTTAGCCATCATGTGTGGTAGTGCTTTTGAAACCTGTTTATCGTGTTGTTGTTATGTGCCGTCTAGTTGCCTGCAACTCTATTACAGCAGCCCTGAACCCTGCCCTGTCCTGAGCCAGTGTCACTAATTCTGACACACTAACCCCCATTGCCATTGATACTGTATCAATCCATCTCATCCAGGGTCTTCCTCTTCTGCTCTGTCCCACCACCCTTCTGAGCATGATGTCTTTTTCCAAGGACCAATCTCTCCTAGCCATGTGCCTAAAGCATGTGAAATAGAGTTTCAAAATCCTGGCCTCCAAAGAAAAACTTGGTTTCACCTCTTCAAGACAGACCTATTTGTTTTCTTGATGGTCTGTGATATGTTCAAGACTCTTCTGCAACACCACAGACCCTGTCTGGCTAATTCAGCCCTACCGCGACCAAGCTGTGGATTTCAGAATGAAATTATATTACAACAGAGCATTTTAAACAAGCTGCTCTTTGTTAAGACTCTGCCCTTGGGTTGACTACCTATAAACTGAGATCACCAACAACTTGTTACCGTGCAGTAAGAATAGACACATAGCTGATCCTCCAGAGGCTATAAATTGCAATGGAGGAGATTTCCCAAGGAACAGCTGGTGGATTTGAACTACCTGCTTTTGGGTTAGCAGTGCAACTCCCTACCCACTAGGCCATCGAAGCTTAGTTTGTAGAAATTTTCTTTATTGCTGATTACATTTTGGAAACAATATCCTGAGTTGATAGTAATCATATTCACTCACCAGATTCTAATAGAGGTGGTTTTTGGTTTGTTTGTGTTTTTTTTGTCACTTCTCAGAGCTTTTGTGTATGTGTGTATTTTAGGAGGTAACAAACTTGATTTATCAGTAATATATAGGGTTTTTTTAATTGACGTTTTAATGAAAGTTTGTAAGTAATATATAGGCTTTATAAATTTTTATTATTTTTCGTGTATGTACCATCAAATCAGATCTGACTGGTACAGGAGGAGATGGCTCCTCCTTCAGTAGAGCATCTGGTGGATTCAAACTGTGTGCCTCTGGGATTGCAGTGCAGCTTCTTGCCACTAGGCGACTGATTTTATAATTTTTTTTTTTTTATTTTTTGTATGCGTGTACCGTCAAATCAGATCTGACTGGTACAGGAGGAGATTGCCCCTCCTTCCCCGGCAGAGCATCTGGTGGATTCGAACCACGCACCTCTGGGATTGTAGTTGTAGCTTCTTGCCACTAGGCCACCAGAGCTCCCATAATTTTTTTTTTAATGAGAGATTGCAAGCTGTACTATTTTTTCATTTGATTAGCCATATACTTTTTTACATTCTTTTTTTAAAATTTAATTTCATACTGGTTTATTTACAAAGTTTGAATATATTGTTTTTCACATTGCATCTTTCCCATTTCCTTCACCCTCCTCCCATCAAATTGTGTGATCCTATAATTAATCCCTCCTGCCCATTCTAATCTCTGTCCCCACCCCTTGGATCCTCATGCTTGTTCTGCAATAGTGGTCTTATACTGTATTTATCCCTTTGGGACTGAGTTAGTTCACTTAGCATAATGCTGTACAGTCCCTCCCAAGTTAAGTAGTCATTTACAAAATCATTGCTCCTGCGTGTTGCATAGTATTCCAGTCATGTGAATGTACCATAATTTCTCAATCCATTCGATTGTGGTTGAACATTTGAGCTGTTTCTATGTTCTTGCGATGGTAAATAACACTGCTATGAAGATTGGTGTACAACATACACATTTGCTTTATAGCATTAATGAATGTTGATTACTTTATTACAGTGTCTGATCCACCCCTTATTCATTTGATAGTTTAACTAATGGGAGATTTTCTCTCCCTTCTCCTTCCCTTCTCATCCCTGGTAATTACAATATTTGTTCGTAATCTCTCAAGTGGAGTATTTGCAGGATTGCTGTCTGTTTCTGAAAAGTGTTACTAATATCATGTGAAAAGCACAAATGGCTATTTTCTTTTCTCCCATTCTCTTCCTTTACAGATAGCTACAATCTTCACAGTGAAGACTCGGGACAACTAGGAAAACGGAAGGAAAAAGAATTTTCAAAAAGAAGTTAATTTGAAAGCTTGTTTACAACTGACTGACATTGACAGTATTTTTTATAAAAAATAATAATAAAACACTTTCAGAAGATTGTATTTATAAATTAAGAGGAAACTGGACTTAACAATGAGGCCAAAGACTTTTCCTGCTACGGCTTATTCTGGAAATAGCAGACAGCGCTTGCAGGAGATTCGCGAAGGGTTAAAGCAACCGTCCAAGTTTGCGGCTCAGGCTGAGGGATTACCCATAGGACCAAACGATGACCCTTCCCTGGATATGGATGTCCTGGAGGACAAGGACATTACCAGACAACAGCAGCAGCAGGAGCAGCTGAGAGCCACTGCCAAGTTTGGCCCTTACCAGAAAGCTTTGCGGGAAATCAGATATTCCTTGTTGCCCTTTGCCAATGAATCAGGCATCGCTGCAGAAGTGAACCGACAAATGCTGCAGGAACTGGTGAATGCGGGATGTGACCAGGTGGGTGTGAACCTCCCTCCAGGCGTTCTTGGGTTGCTGTCCCTGTGAGGAGTGTATTAGAAGTAAATTTGGGCCCAAGGATTCTTGGTTGGTGTGTTCCCAGGTTCTAAAACCCATAAACACTTTGAATCATTTGCCTGCCTCCTCACAAGGGCACGGTTACCTGCTATTCTCTTCTGCGCAAAATCAGAAGTTTGCCAGCACTCATGAATCTGACTGTGTGTATTTTCTGGCCTGTTTTGTGGAGTTGGGTTTTCACATTTTGCTTTTCTTGGGCTGTTATTCTGAAATGACTCCGAAAAAAGAAATTACAACTCTCATCTTTTGTTGTTGTTGATGACTATGAATTGGCTCTTCTGTGAATCTTTTCCTCCTATTTTAACAAGTAGTTACAGATGTTAATGTTAGGGAGATGAAAAGGGCTATGAAAGGGAAAAGGGGCCCTGGTGGTGTAGTGCCTTATGTGTTTTAACCAGAAGATCTGCAGTTTGAAACTACTCCCTGGGAGAAAGATGCGTAGTCTCCTTTCATAAAGATTTACAGCTTTGGAAATCCAATGGGAGGATCACCCCGAGTCAGAATTGACTTGATGGCAGTGAGTGTGTAAATGAGGGGAAACATCCTCAAACTTGAGAAACTCTGCTTGAGAATAAATAGATACAGGTGGCTATAGTTAGAAGCGCACATCTCCCAGCTAGGCATTTATGTATGATCCTTAGGAGTTCACATTTCTGGATAACAATCTAGTAGAGGGACAGGCCTATGTGAAATTTCATGTAATTTGTCCTATCAGGTAAAAATGAGGATATGAAACCAGTTAAAAACAACTTCTGAAAGCCAGTGTTTTATAACCTGTCCTCTTGAAACTTTCATTTGCACCAAAATGCATACAAGCAAGTTCTGCCTTGGCTGATTAGAAAAAGATTGTGTTTCCAGAGCACGGGAAGGTGATCTGGCCATCAAACTTCCCTAGAAACCCCCAGTTATGGAGTCCTACCTCAGAGTCGTAATAAAGACTAAGAAAGCAGCCATCCTCTGTGGTCAAAAGCAGGTTCAGTTCTCGTGCATTTCATTGCCATAGGCCTTGACAAAAGAACTTCCATTTCTCTAATGATAGAATGTTTGTGAAACAAATCCTCCCGTTTTGTTGGGGGCTTCCTCACATGTCAGGATATCTGAGGATTAACTGGCGTCTAATAAGCATTGTTTGGCCAAGAGTGGGTTTCACAGATCGTGGGATCATGAGTAATGTGGTTCTGAGTGTTTCTGTGGTGGAAGCTGACAACAGAAGCATGACCTTGCTCCTTGTGAAAATATGATGGAAAATCCACTGCCAAGGGTTATCCTCTGACAAACAACTTGATGGGCTTGGGCGTCAGGAGGGAGGCGGCTAGGGAAATGGTGCAGAGGGACTTGCAGGCCCACTGTGGACCTTCCAGGCTTCTGTAATCCACTTGCAAACAAAAGAAGTAATCAGAGCCTCAGTGTTCTTTGCAGTTATGTTTCAGCTGTAAGAGAAAAGAAACAAGCCAAGCAGATAATCCAAAATACAGGTGGGCCCTCATTATGGTAAAATCCATTAGTGGTAATTACAATGTAAGAAATAATGAGGTCGATGCTATTTTCCAATGCAGCTAAGTACAAATACAGCTAAATTACGGATCATGACACCAGTAAAGCTACCATTAATGTTTAATTTATGTTAATTCCTAGCAGAAAGGCTTCACCTGCCATACTGAATGCTAAAAAAAAAAAAAAAGAATATCGAAGTCAATTTAGTATATAGGGTTACTTTAAAATTTAAAACAGCCCAGCCTCCACTCTCAGCATCCACTCAGGCTTGGCTTGTTCTGGGTGGAGGAAGCATTTGCTGGGAGAGCATGCTGACAGAAAAGTCGTTCTGTGAACCCAAACGCTAGAGGGAGGACAGTCAGCCATTCCTTCTAAAGTGGTGTACCTGTTGGACAAAGCAAGTGACTAGCATTCCAGTGAAACAGATGAAGAGGATTCCTATTATTACAGCTTGGTTGTATGATTCTTTTTGTTTTTGTTATAGCTTGTTGACCTTCTTCCTATTATATTATGCGTGTCTTTGATTTAGATTCAGAGTGTTCTCATATTTTGAGTTAAAGTACATAGTCCTGGTAAAATATGCTGTTTTTATACACTGAGCATGAACACATGTACCCACATAGTCGTATGTGATTTTATTTTGGACTTCTTGGAAATAACTAATTTTGAATGTTTGTTTGTAAATTGTTGTTACGTGTTGTTGAGTCGACTCTGACTCGTAATGATCCTATCTATGTACAGCAGCTCTGAACCCTGCCCTGTCCTGAGCCAATCTCACTGACTCCAACATGCCTACCTCCATTTCCCCAGTTACTGTATCAATCTATCTCATTGGGAGTCTTCCTCTCTTGCACTGTCCTTCCACCCTTCTGAGCATGATGTCCTTCTCCCAGGACCAGTCCCTTCTGGCCACATGCCCAAAGTATGTGAAATGGAACTTCAAAATCCTAGCCTCCAGGGAGAAACTTGGTTTCATCCAGTGCAAGACAGACCTGTTTGTTTTCTTGGCCATCATGGTATGTTCAATACCTTTCTCCAGCACCACAACTCAAAGGCATCGATTCTTCTTCTGTCATCCTTAAGTTCAGCTCTCTGATATATAGCAAGTAATTGTGAAGATCATGACTCGGGTTTTTTTTTTTTTTAAATCGCTTTATCTAAGTATATAACAGCTTTTATACAGAAAAGCAGATAAATCCAAAGTGTCAAACACATCTGTTTAAAACCGTGTAAAGGACGTGTATAAATAGCAACAACAACAAAAACCCCATTGCTGTTGAGTGGGTTCCAACTCATAGCCACTCTCCATCTGGTTCCCGAGGTTGCAGATATTTATGACTTGAGACTGCTTATCTTCCTCTCTTGGAACGGCTGAGGGAGCAGAACTGTCAGCCTTTTGATGAGCATACCACATCACCAGGGCTCCTTAAAGATAGATATATGTGCACTTATGTTATATGTGTATACATGTTGTTGTTGCGTGGACCCCTGAGAATAGCAAACACTTTCCCACTTTGTGTGCCTCATGTGAAGAGTGAGCTGGGAAATGTCTTTTATTTCTTCCTTTCTGAAAAAAAAATTCTTTAATTTTACATTTATAACTCCAGAATCTGTTAGAAGGACGCTGACTATCACAGTTTCGTGAATCAAGAATTATGATGTCCATTTTTAAAAGGTTTTTTGTGTGTGTGTTAGGTAAAAAGTTTACACAGCAGACTGTTGTTGTTGTTGTTGTCGTTTCTGACTCATAGCGACCCTATGCACAACAGCCCTAAACCCTGCTCTATCCTGCGCCAACCGCACTGCCTCTGACACACCCATCCCGATTACCCCAGTCACTGAATCAATCCATCTCATAGAGGGTCTTCCCCTCCTGCGCTGTCCCTCCACCCTCCCAAGCATGATGTCCCTCTCCAAGGACCCGTCCCTCCTGGCAACATGTCCAAAGTATGTCAGACGAAGCCCCAGAATCCTTGCCTCCAAGGAGTAGCTTGGTTTAATCCTCTCCAAGATGAATCTGTTTGTTTTCCTGGCAGTCCATGGTATATTCAGTACCCTTCTCCAGCACCACAACTCAAAAGCATCTACTCTCCTTCTGTCCTCCCTAGTCATTGTCCAACTCTCTGATGCATAACAAGTGATTGCAAATACCATGGCCTGTATCAGGTGCACCTTAGTCTCCAGAGAGACACAGTAGACAGGTTCTAATAATCTTATGTGCATTATTCCATTGGTTACATTGTCACAGTTTATCAGCATTCCCATGATATCCATGCTGCTTGTTCTGTCTCCAATGATCTCGTTTCCCTTCCCTTCCTTATCATCTCAGTTTTGATTTTTGAGAAATATCAACCATGTGTTAAGGGAGCATGATACTCAAAGCATATTTATTTTATAAACCAGTTTATTCTTTAGCTGAAAAATGGCCTCCATGAACAGCTTTCATGCTAAATTCAAAGGGTCTCTCAGGGTGTTACTTTCAGGGGTTCCTGTAGACACTCTGAAAATTGCACTAGAGCATTGAGAAGCCAAAATGAAGGGAAGAGATGTCAAAGAAAAAGAGATGAACAGAAGATGTCAAAGGGGAGCTCGGGAAGGCAAAAGCAATGTATTATAATGGAATGGACAAAGAGCTGAAGTTGGAGAATTAAAAAAAGGAAGATGGACTCAACATTTCTTAAGTTGAAAGAACTAAAAAACAGATTCAAGCTTCCAGTTGCAATACTGCAAGACACTATGGGAAAAACCCTAACCCTAACCCTAACCCTGAATGACCTAGGAAGTATCAAAAGAAGATGAGGGGAATATAGTCATTGTACCACAAATAGATGACACTGAACTATTTCCAGAAGTAGCATAAAGGGCTGATGGTGATGAAAGAAGAAGCTCAAGACATACTGAGGCCATTAGCAAAAACGAAGGCCCCGTGAACTCATGAGATACCATTTGACATGTTTCAGTTAACAGATGCAGCCCTGGATATACTCACCACTCTGGGCCAGGAAATTTGGGGGACAGCTACCTGGCCAACTGTCTGAAAGAGAACCATATTTGTTACCATTCCCAAAAAAGGTGATCCAATAGAATGTGGAAGTTATCACAAGCAAGTAAAATATTGCTGAAGATGATCCAAAACGAGCTAGTTGATGAAGAACTGCCAGCATTCAAGCTAAGTTTAGAAGTGATGACTCCAGGGATACCATTGCTGATGTCAGATAGATTCTGGCTGAAAGAGAGTATTAGAAAAATGTCTATATGTTTTACTGACTTTGTAGAGGCATTTGACTGTGTGGAGCATAACAAACTATGGCTGATATTGAACAGAGTGAGAATCCCAGAACATTTAACAATGCTTATATGAAATCTATACCTATACCAAGAAGCACTTACTTGTTCTAACAGAGCAGGAGAATATGGCATGGTTCAAA